CTGTGCGCTCTGTGCGCTCTGTGCGCTCTGTCAACAGGGCCAACAGGGCCAACAGAGCCAACAGGGCATATCACGTGACTCAGCCTTGTTCTCCTGTGGATCCTTCCATCTGTCCAATGAGTGTGGTGAGTCGCGCCAATGCAACTCGTAACCGGGTTTCCTCAAGGCTGTGTCTAACATGTATATACCTAGATCCTTGCAGTGAGCTAGCAAAGCCCCGTACTCCCACCATCCCCATCTCTTCCGTCCGTGTACGCGCTGCGCCTGCCGACTCGCTCCTACCGTAATTGGGCTTTTACGAAGACCTCCTATCTCTCACTCCCTCGGATTTCATCACCCCACCTATATAGGTGAGGGTAGAGTGAGGCTCTGACCTTCCAGCTCACTCCCGGCTTTAGGATATCTGGACTCGACTGAAGACGAGGTGATTCTAGCTCTTCTCTGAAATTGACTTTCCCTCCCCCCCTCTCGGAGGGCTGGAACGAACGCTATCTCGTCCCTTCTGGCTTCCCCCGAAATGCACCGGCAGGCCCACCGAGGGTTAGAGCGCCCTGCTGCCTAAAGGAACGCCCATTTCCCCGGCTTGGATTGGGTCCTCAGCGACAGAGCCGGTTTTGGGGGGGAGGGGGGGTTACGCGGTGCCTTGGCGACCCTTCAGCGAAACGTTACGTTCATCATGGCCATAGCCACTGAAGTCTGTCCACGCTACGCAATCCGTCAATGTCCAGCGTGGTGGAGGTGTTTCAGAGCCTAGCCCTCTTGCTACCGGACGGTCCTAGCAGCTCGTCGGTGCTTACTCGACCCCCACGACAAACCTCGTATTCCGTGCGAGTCCGGCACTAATGAGTACGGGTCAACGTCTGCGGATCCTTACTGCAGGGGCCTCGCTGCGACGTTATGGTGTTCGGTGCGCCTCGATCAACTTCGAAAATGGCAAAATCTCCGGCACTACTCGCCTCGAGCGAAGTTCGTCGGAGGTTGGCTGCAGCCGTACCCCGTTCCAGGCTCCTGTCGGTTGCGTGAGGTCAGATAGGAATGCTGCAGGGAGCGGGGTTCGATGAGACCACAAGATCCTCGACAGAAAGGGGTTTCAGAGCATCATGGGTCGAAGTCCAATCCTACCCTAATACCTGGGCCAAGGACGAGTCGGGGAGTCAGTGCCGACAATGGATGAGGCGGGCGTGTTATCGTAAGGGGCAATCTGTCGACCCGATCAAGTCAGGGGAGATCCTTTATTCGGAACTGGGTGATTCCGCCTTGAGACAGGCTCGCACCCGCAAAAAGAGGGAATATGTCGGATTTAGGGCAGCCGATGCGTACAACCAGCGACACGTTCCGTCCCTGCCTGTGCTCGCGATGCCCGTATGCCGCCCTCCGACCGAGAAGGCTCCCGAGTGGGGGTGCGTCGATTTGGTCAGACCCTTTCTGCAAGGGTTTCCTTTGACGTCGTGACGCATACTGCTCTGAGCCGACTCCGAAAGTGACCAAGTCTCCTGCGCGATTGTCCTCTCCTAACCTGGTCAGAATGGGGCCGGCCAACCGTGCCGGTTGACAAGTTAGTTAACTGAGACAAGGCATACTCGTTAGAGCGCGTCTCACATCCATCAGCTGAGTTTGGCGAAAGGAGAAGAAGGCAGTAGGCAGTGCTCGGCGGTTAGGGCACATTTCCACCAAAATGAGCTTCCGGCTGGGCTCTGCAGGCCAAAGTCAAATCTACCTCGCTGTTTGGGCTAACGAACGAATCTAGGACCTAGAATTGACAGATTAGGCAACACTCCTCCTACGAAGGGTAATTCATCGACGAGACCAGATCGGAGATGATTCTCTCCCTAAGCACGGGTCAGTCCTTCCCCGATAAGACGTATCACGGAAAGATGTTGAAAATTTAGGAAACGAAGCTCAGCGGCCGGACGATGGCGAATGTTGGATCAGAGCAGAAGGGGTATAGCGTCTTGTGCGTTGAGTATAAAAGACCATAACTAACTCCCTTCCCAGACTTAAGAGCCACTGTGCAGTGTCCTCCATCCACCCCTTTACGATGAATTCCACTTTCCAAGCAAAACTGGCGGACAGGCAACCCGATAACTTCCGCCACTACACATACCCTCCCCCCCTTAAACCCAAGCGAACCCAGGTTTCGCGAGGACGAGAGGCGATCCCTGAGAAATGCCCTCTACCAGACCTCGTACCCAATAGTCTCTTCGACGAACTTGACGACGCGCAGATTCAACCTATGATTCCGGGCTCGACCCACGCTACTTCTCTCAATGACGCGCGGGAAATATCTTCACCCTCGACACCGGACGCCGCCTTATTGAACCTGAATTTGATAGGTGAGAATATATACACCTCTCCGGTGAGGGTCCGTCCTTGAGCTCTTGGGCATATCGGCTAACTCTACCCGTATATTATAGCTGAAAAGCCTGGCTGTGAAGCGATGACCGAGAAGAGTGTCCTGGGCGAAGTCGAAATAGAAGACTCCCAACAATCTACCTCAGGGCGCACACTCTATAGCGACGGCGTGGTTCTGGACCAGAGGAACCCGTCACGGTCCGCTTCGATTCCTGTAGCGGCGAGCAATCTGGGTAAGTGAACGAAATGATCAATCCCTTACAACGCTAATGAATGCAGATGCAGGAGTGGATAACTCGAGTCCGAGCAGTGCCGGTGATGTGCATAACGACAATACCTCCACTGGTAGCACCCAGGCGGATGACGATAGAGGCTGCCACGGCCGTGCCGAACAGCAGGAGCCAGAGAGGCAGGAGCTAGGGTCACCATATGACGACATAATTCCCAGCGTCCCCGAGATCCGCGACCCTAAATTCGGGAATACGGCGGGTAATACCTGGTCTGAAAAGAGTCACCTTGAGCCAAGACAAGGCGCGCTTCAGTCAGCAGAACCGGGACCTCGAGTGGTGATACCCACTAGCCGCGCTCCATTGGGACAACCGAGTCTAAAAGCGGTTTCGCCTTACCCTGCCGCAACGATAAAAGCACCTCGATTCCCGGCCGGGGTAACAAGTCGACCACTTAGCCATAAGATCGTTCATCCACCTCCGAGAGCGAAACGGAGGGCTTCCACAATGGCTGGCCAACTCAACATACGCCATCGTCGACTCAGGACGACGAACCGGGCGAGGGCCAGCCCTGATGCATGGCCAAGCGACAGTGACTCTGACTCCAGCTACGATGGCGAAGACAACTTAGATGCAGCTAAAGACGCAAGGCCGAGGCCGAGGCAGAGGCAGCGGGCACCACGACTATCTGGGATCTCCAAATCTGCCGCTACTCCTAAATGGAAGTCGCGAAGCGGTGGTCGCACGAGCTCCGTTAGCACTCGTTCACAGTCAGGGGTGCTCTTCCGAGGTGTAGAGGACAGCCCGAGAGCCAATACCGCCTTGGGTGTCCTCTGCGACGCCGGTGTGGCGGCGACCCTCGGTTTGTCGATGTTGCCAAATCCCAACATCCCGCCGGTAACGTCGACCGAAGTTGCCGTCCTGACAGTCCTTCTCGCTGACATAACCGAGATCGGGGCGCTCCTGGAATCCCCTGCGGCCTGCGGTCTCACCGGAGCTCCCTTCTCCACGGCCAGGCTAGTTCACGCTACTGTCAAACCTCACCCATCGCAGCAATGGCAAGTGACTGTCACATTCTCCTCGGCTCCTAGTGTTGTACAAACGGCTAAAAACCCCGGCCTCGACACCGAGGCATACACTTCAAGTGCCGACAGCGTCGGCTCTTCGAGCAGTATACACAGTGTCCACCATTACTCTTCCGAGGACGAATCCGGATCTCGAACACGGGGAAGGAAGCGTGGCCGATGGGAGGAAGAGGACGACGAAAACTTGATCGCGTGGAGACGCCTTGGTAAGCCGTGGTCTTGGATCTACAAAAAATTTCCAGATCGAAGCGAGGGGGCTATTAAATCACGCTGGTACGTGGTTCTGGCGCCGCGACAGAAACCGAAAAGGTCGTGACCCATGACCGAAGGGCAGGTAGCGGGCGGGGCGGTACTGTAGTGGTACGGATGTTGGAGGACGGGTGGACGGGGGAGCTACACCTTGGGTACAGTATGCATCTTCCAGAAAAGAGAAATGAAAGACCTCAAGAGCAATGCGAACATCATTAGAGATCGCCACTGCGATCGAATGTGGTTAACTATGAGGGAATGTAGAGTGGCTCTTACAGTATGTACTGTGAATCGAGTTTAGTAGCTCGTCACCCCTTTGTGGAGGGATCCTTAGTCCTTTTCTATTTTACTGTTCCTTCCTTGGGTACTGTACAGTACGTTTCTTCATGTCAGAATTTCGGGGTGACCTGTCGCCTTGCCAATATCGCTGATCTCCATTGGCGGTGCGATATCAGGATTGCCACTATGAAAGACTATCGTCCCATTAAGCCAAAGCGGTACGTTCTGTCGGACTGAGTACACCAAGTGATATGATCGCCCTTCCTTAACCGTACTTTCTGAGTCGGGGAGGGAATCAATGTCACTCCATTTAGCGGGATCCGATGTAGGCCGAGATACGCCGACCAGTTGAGGCCACGGGGATATACACTTAAAATTGTATTCCTTGTTCTTACAGAGGTTGGCGAGTCCCCAGTCGATGGGAGCGTTGTAAGGGACCATGGACAGGTGATAGAGAGCTTTGCGGGCTCCTTTCTGAGAGATAGCGTATGCAGCGGTACATACTGCGCCTTCTGAACGGAAGACTATCCTTGTTCGTTCGCCGCCGTCGGGCCCGGTCTGCCAGTGACTCATATCCGGCTTTGCCACGTTATCGTCGCGGAATCGAGGCGGTAACACGGTAGGATCGCCAGGGATGACGAAGAATCGGCGGTTGTCATCGGGCAGAACCCAGGTACCGCAATGGCCGATCCAAAGCATATCCCAGTCGTCGCCATAGGGAGAATGGGGTGTATCCCGTTCCGTGGTGTTCACAATGAACCTAGAGCCTCTGGCAAACTGCACGAGCTGGTGCTTCAATGCCACGTCCCAGTCGGCATCGTCCTCGAAAATCAAGGCCGTTGACACATTTTCATGCACCATCTTCTGATAGACATTATTATGTGCCCGCCAACATCCAATGACATTCGCCTTCTGGCTCATCGTCTGCAAAGTGTTAGCAGTCGTGAAGTAGTGGGTATCGGGGAGTTGACACACGTGTGGTAACGCTTTCGTGGGGATTCTCCCGCCGTGTACTCCTTCCACGAACGTATAGGAGATTTCAGAAAACGCTGCCTGCATAGCAAAGGTATCTTGTTTGTCCGTCCGCTCTGGAAGGGAGATCATATATATCTTTTGAAAACCCAAGGTCTTATTTTGTATCTGATAGATGTACTCGGAATGTTGGCTCGACTTGATAGTAGACTTGGCTTGCGACCCTTCAAGAATCGTAGGAAAAGCTTCTTGAAAATCAAGAATGTCGTGAGCTTCAGGGTCGAGTGCTCGAAAGGAGGCAAAGAACAAGACGAGCATAATAACGACGGCAGCAGCCACCAACCGGAGGCGTATATCCGCTGCGGAAAGCATGATGCCTGTAATGTGTGCTGTATGCGAAGTTGCTAAGGTCGAAAATTAACTCTTCTGACGCTCCGCTCGTGGACAACGGAATCTTAAAAATGTGACCTAGGTGGAAACCGGTTGTACAAGGGCTATACTGTATCGAACGCAATATGAAATATTGTTGCAACGGACTTCACCATATTACGACCGGCCGGTAAAAGAGTGACAGGGGCTAGCAGGCTTACCATCTATCTAGGCTATATTGGAAAGGTACACTGATAAACCAGACTAAGATAATAGAAAAACTCCCCACAAAACCCCCCTTCCGTTGAAGTCCTAATATGGACGTCAGCTTTTGCCCACCACCGGTACCGAACGATTTCGAAAACCTTCCAATAGTGGGTCCATTTTCTTGCGGACCTCAGGCTGCTCGGTGCGGCCGCCAATAGATACGACGCATTTGTCGCACCAACCACCAACCCTTCCTACCTACATAACTCTTGTACAATGGAGAGATACCACATTGCCTAGCGCAATTAATCACTAGCTCTTCGAGTGAAAAACCGACGTTGTATCCTCGAGTGGCTACAAAGATACATAACGGTTCCGCTTGAGATATGGGGTAACAATGCTCTTCATCAAAGAGCTGCACTGTTTCGTCCGAATCGTCCCGGCAATTAGATGTGTCGTAGTCTTCTCTCCAAGCTGCTGATCTTCCGCTGCGACTTCGATGAAGAGGTAACGTTCTGGCTTGCTGGTTATGCTTCACTATCGTGCCATCTGCCTTCTGGACCACAACGATAATCTGCTCTAATCTCAGAAGCTCCTCGCAGAACCTTTTGATTACGCCCTCCTCAATTTTCCCTTTTGTGGGTAGCAAAAAATGGATGAATCCCCTTGACTCCGTCTCACGGCCTTGGATATAGTCGCGAGTGCTAGGTTGGCTGTTAGTCGTCAAAAACCCGTAGTCATGCATCTCTAGGAGGCGAGGAACTAATGGTAAAGTCTCCTCATCGATTGGTGCACCATGAATAGGGGAGCTCGTTAGTTTTCCTCGTAGAAACAGACGGTTGAGGTGTAGAACTTGTTCAAATGTAGTCGCTTGAGCCCAAATATTGTGGCTCTGGGGCCTCGGCCGCGTAGTAAAACAACTTAGGCGCATTGCTTAAATGGAAAAATGGGCCAAAAAAAAACTTTCTAATACGGGGAGATAAGGAGTGTGCTTCGTTCCACGTTGAGAAGGCTGATGTCTAGTATAATTATATACTAGGAAATGCGCCAATGTAAACAACGCTGACGATCAAGGTATCCTTTCTATTAAAAGCAGTGTGGGGTAAAATAAAAATATTCTCTTTTGTAATCTATTTATAGAGGCACGATTATTTACCTATATTCGAGTGATGTAGGCAAATTTAGATCCAAACTAGGTTATAGTTAGGAGTGCGCAGCGCTTGCCCTATCGTTGGTCCACAATACCAAGGACTTCCATGTCCCCAGATCACATAATGACGGAATGACCGACCCGTTGTAAATCAAGCGATGCCACGATATGGCCCCGCGGAGGATATACGAAACAGCCTCTCGCCGGTAGAGACTATTTTGTATGCTCCCTGTGCCTTCATATTCGATTCTCATTGAAGCTTTCGATGCAATAATGAAGGGGAAGAGTGGGAATCCTTTCCAGGCGATGTGCGATGACATCTGACCTTATCTCCATCGATTCTACATTAACTGTGGCGTTAATTATAGGAAATACAAAGCTGGGATTGTATTTTAGTTTGGAGGCACTCTTGTGGGTATTATATCTGGATCAGGAGATTGGCGGCGAACAACTGCTGGTCTGTCGCAACTGCCGCTCTTTTAGCAGATTTTCAAACGACGGCGAAGTAGGAATGACGAAGTGGTGTTTCACTTGCTCTTAACGCTGTCGAGAACCGCCCCGTCGGCGCTTCATCAGGTCAGCCTGCTGCTGTAACCTGTTCCGAAGGAAATTAGCATTACAGGAACATAGTACAGTGCAGTGGATTGCAAAACCGGTTTCCTCGTCCGAGATAATTCTCTTCATTTTAAATTTAGAGGGGATAGTAAAGGCCCACTTAAAACTAGTTATACTATAGTCTTTTCGTGTTTTCCAGCCAATCATGACAGGCGCTAAACTATTCGAAAATTTCACTCTCAGTACGTTCCTATAAATTACCGCTAAATGTCTGACGACCCAAGAAACAAGCTTTTAGGTTCTGATACTGGAAGGTTTCGCGCAGTCTTCGGAAGACTCTACACGTAACATTCACTTATCGGGTTGCCCATTAGACCGACCAGCATGAAGTGACCCATTCTTGGACAAGGAAAATTGACATTACGATGATATACTGTAGCAACAGATGCAACCACAATGACAGTGTCTGATTAGTCCGTCAGAATGTTGGATAACTAGTACAAAAGCTGTGGTGGCTGACAGTACAGGCTCTCAGGAAAGGGAAGGAAAGCGGTGCTGCCTAGCACAAACTCCTCCTGTCATCAATCTCCTTCCAGCACCTTGATCGCATCATCGGAAGCGTTAGACTCTTCCGCTTCATCATCAGTATCTGACCCAGTCATCTCCAGAAGAAGATAGTTTGCAGCATCGGAATCATAGCCTTCATTGACGACTTCGTCTTCAAAGTCCCAGGTGAGTTCTTCGCTTGATGACTCTGAGAAACCATGGAAGAAATTGGTTGGATCGGATGGATCGGTTGAGACTTGAAGATATTAGTTGACCTTTTTGATCTCAGTTCATAACTTGGACTTACGAGAAAGCCCGGTAAACAGGTTCGACAAGCTTTCCGCCGTCGCCGCCTGCCGAGCACGCCCGAAGGCGGGTATGATAATCTCTTGATACCAATTCTCGTTCACGATAAGGTCGTCCCATTGCCAATGGCCTATGATCTCACTATCTGTGACCTCCCACAAGCAAACAAAGTGATCTTTATAGTAAACATTGGATTTTTGTAAGGATCAGGAATATCGTAGTACTCCATCTCATCACCGACGTTTAGCACGGGTAGACCGTTTCGAACACGTTCATCAGGATCAATAACGGTCAGAGTCATTGGTCCTCGACCCCGTCGGGTTCTCAAGCTCGCGAGTTCTTCGATTTCGGAAGGCGAGTCTATGAATGAGATATAAGGTGTTGGTGTCCAGTTGCTGTGATCAATGTGAATGGTCAATGAATCTTTCCGAGATTTGAAGGTGTCAAGCCGTCCACGGTTCGCTCTTGACCTCATACAACCATCTGCATTCGGTCGGCTCCCTGAGCAGCGGTCCCATAGCCTAAGAAATGGCTTATCAAAGGTCTGGAGGGAACGCGCTCGCCACGGATGTCGCTGCTCTTCTGTTCCGGACACAGTTCCTGACACAGGATTTAACAAGCTCGAAACGATGTCAGAATTGAAAGTGACATAGGCCTCCATAGCTGAAGCGGCGTTTGCTGGGATTACAACGAACACGCTGAGGCTGTCCACCAAGCAAAAATGACTCTTTCGACTCGACGCGCGTTGCTTTCCGCGATCAGCAAAAATCTTTGTGCAAAGAATTGATAGCCTCGATCAACGTGGATCTGGGATGGAGTGATGACAAGCTGTTCAACATCAACGAGACACACTGAAGGGAAGTACTGTAGCTGCTGCGAGCAAGTACTTGGCATATTCTTTGAGCCCCAACCAGCTTTCGCTGCCTAGGCCAGCTGACCATTTGCATTCGGTCTACAGCATAGGTTGGCCATCCAGCAACCAGACCCGCGTTTCTCGACAGATAATATTGTGGATGGCATGACTTCTTTCCTGGCTCGAATGGATAACATCGGCCAATTCCATAGGATAAGACATCTGTGCTGGTCGACGTGGCTGGCGAGACGGCATTGACAGCACCACATTGTCACACATCCTGGACCAATAAGACCATCTTTCACACCCCCTTTTCCCTCGCGACTTGGGAGCGCAGTCGTGGGAAGATGTGATTGGGCAGTGACAATCGAGCTTGAAAGACAGCCCGGTGAGTCAACACTATTAGCCATGCGCATTTAAATGGCTGCCTATCTAGCTGGAACTGCAGACTCCTCCGTCGCCCCAGAAGACGCCAGCAACGATAGCAAAAGGTGGCGATTTTTGGAATCAACATTCGAGGATGGCAAAGACCATGGTGAACTGCGCCGACTGCGATCGTTCATTCCCCAGCAAACGGGCTTGGGAGCAACATATTCGCGATTCTCCAGCACATGCTCCGAGCTTCGATTGCGACGACTGTAACCGCTGCTTCAACAGCGACGAGGCGCTGCAGCAGCACCTTCGCGACTCGCGAGCCCACAGAAATCCATCTCCGCTAGACCGCTTCTTCGCCAAGATGTTGACTTCGACTATGATCCAAAGGCATCACCATCAGATGAGATGGCTCGACTACACAGGCGTTATGCTTGGGCTCCAGGCGACGATGAGGCAAGATCTGCCTGGGATGAATTCAAGCAGACACTAGTGCTTGAATTCCAGTCTTGGTATGGTACCGATAACGACAATTTGTCGAAATGGCGAAGCCTTTGCCGTGCATTACGCATCTGGCCGATACCACAGTCCTGTACGGAATGCCAAAAAGTATGTTGCGAAGGCTGGCATAAGCAAGCTGTTTTTACTAATCTTTCTGATTAGGCTGTGAGAGGGCGGCACGTCAACATGGTTGATCTCCTTCAGCAGAGACGTAACGGGGAATACCAGATCCGAATATTTGAGTCATTGGATGACCTGCGTGAGTATACAAACAAAACACGACGATATTTTCCCAAAGACACTCTTAATCCGGGAGCTTTGTTGGAGAATTTGCTTCGGCAGATTTTTGTGAAGGGTTAGTAGAGGGCAACTACCTGCAATAGCGTAAACTGCCACATCAGCACATAAAGTGGAGGTTTCTGTACGGTGACTCGAGAAGGACACTGGCGGCCAATGTGTCCGTTACTCAGTGATCGATGCGCAGGATTGGCACACCAAATTTTAACAGGTGGCAGGAGTAAGTTCATCCATGATCGCTCGACCTTCCTTCGCGGTTCGGTACACGATCCACGTGCCGTTAGACAGCTCTCTGTTCAATAATATCCAAGGGCGCTGCCAAGTACAGGACCTCAACCACTCCTTCTCACCTCCTCCAGAGATGTACTCTATTATAGCTCTAGCTCTTTGCGACTAATGCCAATTTCCGTTTCCATTATAGTGAACATAAGATGAAGGATTCCACCGCCTAGCAGCATTGTCAGACGCACGATAATGGTGGATCATATTCAACTGCTCATGGTTGGCATGAGCGCGAAGACATACCGCGTCGGAAATCGGATTACAAAAATGTGTCACGTTCTCCCAAACGATCCTGCCGTTACACAACAAAACCTAGAAGCATGCGAGACTGAAGCTCTAGTGTACCAAATCCTAGGAGAGCACCCTCGAATTGCACAGTGTCTATCGTGGTACCCGTCGCAGAGTCGGATTGAACTTGAGTTCTATCCCAACGGCAACTTGAAAGACTACATTGAAAGGAACTATTCAAGCACGACCGAAGCCGATAAGAAACGTTGGGCTATTTAAATGATCGAAAGCGTCCTCTACCTCCACTCAAAAGGCGTTAGACACGGAGACCTCCGGTTGGAACAGTGGCTTTTGGACGAAAGGAACGCCCGACTGAGCGATTTTAATGGCTCCGGATTCGATGCTCAACCTACTCTCGGTCTCAAAAGGAGATCGGCACGTGGCCTCGAATGTTCAAGTCACTGGCTACCGCGCCCGGATGACGTCGAGAGTTCTGAACAAACGGATCTGTTCGCACTGGGCTCTTCACTTTATGAGCTCATAGCTGGTCAAATGCCCTTTGCGGGTATCGATGATCATACGATAGAAACAAGATACGCACAAGGCATCTTTCCAAATACCGAGGGGCTATTGTTAGGGACCGAAATTTCAAGGTGCTAGAATCAAGAGGTTAAGACCGCTGCGGAATTATTAAATTCCGCAAGGAGTAAACTCAGCGGGGAGCAAGCTCTCAAAGGTCAAGATGGAATTAGGATTGCTACTGGACGTCTTTCTTTGTGAATGATAACCTGTTTCTCTCATGGGTGTCATCCGGGAAGCATTTGATGATCCCAATTCAAAAGCCATCCTAGTAACAGAGAATGTCTCTTAGATTTAGACATGTTGCCTTTTCAACCGCTGATAAGCTTAGGGCGAAAACTTCCACATCGGATAAGGCAGCTTTCAACATACCTCGTTCAAGTCTGCTGACTCGCTGAGGATGATTCACTTGGATCGACATGATTATACCCCGGTCGTGGCCCCTTTCTCTTTGATGATCCTGCGGTGATTCTTTTGTATCTGTGGCAGTTGCGGATGCCACTGGCAGGTTTGTCAGGGCATGGATCCGCGGTATATTGAATCTGATCACAAACCCCAATCTTGCAGCCGCCTCCAGACCACATGTACGTGGTAACATATTCGTTACACATTATGAATTCTGTCAGGTATCAACAAAAGCGTTATAGGACCAGATTTGCTATGGACATATAAGATGTATTCATTCCCTACTGGCAAAAACGTCTCGAATTGCGGGATGGGCGGTGATTACCATAAAGGCTTTCATGGTTCACCATAATAGGAGCGCAATCTGCTGAATGATTCGCAGCACAGAAGATTCGAGAAAACCGCTGGCCTAGAAGAAGTCACGTGTTCCTGCAGCAATGGGGTGACATCGGCATGCGCTCCCCCTTGCATGGGCGCGGCAACGTTCCTGCATGCCCGGTCTGCGCACAGAATGGCACCCAACCTTGCACCTTCCCAGCATGAAATGCTTCAGCATATGATCACCGATGGATCACTCGAAGATGAGGCCATGGCGGCCATTGCCAAGTGCAGCAGTCGAACCATTAGGACCCTACCAGCCAATCTTCGTCGCTATGGCAATACGACTACACCTTACATCGGCCGAGGCGGACGACCTAGAGCCATTACTTCTACTATGTTGACACCACCGCTTGAACTACTTCGAGATACTGTAAGCTCTACCTACAGCTCGATGACATTGTCTTTTTTTGTGAGATATTTCTGGGCGCTTGACGACGCCGGCTACAATAAGCAGGACTCTAAAGCGGGCTGGGTGGTCAAGAAAAGTGGCTCAGCAAGTTGCTAAGAACCGCCATCCAGATTTGCGGGACCTTTACTTGTATGATCTGTCTGCATTTGATCTAGATCATGTAGTCTATGTCGATGAAACAGGTGGTGACAATAGATTGGGCTATCGTCGAATGGGATGGTCTCCGCCTGGAACTACGCCTGTCCAAGTCTCCCAGTTTCATCGAGGGCAGCGCTATCATATCCTTCCCGCATATACTTCGGCGGGTATTTTGCACTTCCGTGTATATCAGGGCAGCACCGATGGCCCCTCTGTTTGAAGAATTCATTGAGCAGCTGTTACCGTTCTGCAGACCATGGCCTCAGCGCCATTCCGTGCTGATCATGGACAATGCCTCATTTCACAGAGGGCCTAAGGTTCAACGATTGTGTGATGCTGCTGGGGTGAAATTACTTTACCTTCCGCCGTATTCTCCTGGTCTGGATTCAATCGAAGAGATGTTTAGTGAATTTAAGGCCTGCGTTAAGACGCATTGGTCAAAATTTCTGGAGGACCCCGAGCAAAGGTTTAGCCAATACTTAGTTTGGTGCCTGGAGATGGTCGGGATGAATGAAAAGAGTGCTGGAGGTCATTTCAGACACGCTGGATGGGCCATTTGAAAGCCACCTATATAGCTTAATTTCAAAACCTTATACAGTACCTAATAAATACAAATCTAAACCTGGTATAACAGAGATAATATCCGAGGAAAATGCTTAGATATAATATAGGAACTCCAATTTCGGCAGTCTAGAACCAGCCAATCCTACTATTCTCACTCTTCATTCGACCTCTTACGACGTTTATTCTAAGAAGCAATATCGCGTGTAAACCGCCTTGCAGTCCCTTCCTTTACGCCTTTATTGATTAGAAAGCTAGAATTGGGGTCTTCGTGAATTAGCCCTAGGTCGTAATAATCATCCAAAATAAAGTCGCGAGCTTTTCGGACTTCTTCCTTTTGGAGAGGGTCTTGGACCTACTCCTGCTGCCATTCAGCATATTCTTTCACGGCGACATCTTGAAGACCTTCGATCTCCAACTTCGGTGTAGCATTGGTTCTCCAAACTTGAGCCGCGTTAGCAGAACACACACATATGCCTAAACCAGCTGATCGATCAGCACCGTGATGGAAGAGCTATCCGTAAGTGTTATCTTATTGTGCTTTCGGTCAAGTCTCTATTGCTCTTCCGCGTACAACTGCTAGCGAATAGTGTCAGGCACATCGTCCTGCGACTGCAAAACGTTACCGCGTTCGACATATCTCACAAGATCAGTGAGATGGTGAGACCGAAGTTTATAATGCTTCTTTCCCGTCGGATCAACCCAACAGTGGGGTCCGAGATCACAGGGTGGGCCAGGACAACGCATAAGGCTGTACACTTTCTGCCAGTCTGATGGTTTACCTGAAGTGGTGTATTCCGCATTAAGCCTTAGCTCACGTACAGCCAGCATGCAATCTGTCGTCGATGTCGGCCCTCTCTTATCTATTTTCTTCCCAGGTTTGCCGGCCGACTAGTGATCAGCCTGAACATAGCTAAATAATAGGGTTACCCGCAACTTTTTACCTTATTCAACGTAATGGCCCCAAGCCTCCAATTACCTTCGCACAGCCTCCCAGTCGATTTCGAGCTTCGAATATCGCCTGGTTAGAGGCTTCTCTACACGGCCACTAGGGACCGAAAAGACGACGCTTATCTCAACAGGCCGGACCTCGAACCTTCCTGCGAAGTTCTCGGTCACTATGTCCTTAAGTCTGGCTTTTAGGAGATGGTTTCAAAAAGGCCCGGGTGCCACCACGACAACGGGTTCGGTGTCATTCGAGACCTTCCTACGATTGTATTTCAAAATCCATTCAACGGAATATTACAAATATGCGGAATCTTGATCGTATTTTGATGTTGGGTCCCAGTCCTCCTCTTGTAAGAACGTCAATCGACTCTGAGGCAAGACTAAGCGTTGGCTTGATGCGAAGGAAGTGCTTGATGCCGTTGTGCTCGCTGTGACCGCATCCGGAAAGAGTGATGCACCCGTTGGAGCGTTCGTACCAGCGTCTGGCCGTTGTGAGGTATTTTGAGACGACCATTCTTTGAAATTGAACAAATTGTCCAAATTGTACTCCGCATCCATAATGTCGTCCTCGCTGGCTCGGGCAGTTGCTGGAGAGTGTATGTCTTGAAGGGGGATGTGATGTCTCGAAGTGCAGACTCCAACTGCGCCCCCGAAACTGAACACCCCAATGAAACCTTCTAAACCAATCCAGCACCAACATCGTCTGCTTGCCAACCTCACCGTCTCCTTCAGTTTTACACAACCACCGAAACCCAAAACAAAGAAAAGAATTGCTTATAAGGAAGCCAGTTTTGCAATTCACTGTACTGTATCTGGCACAGGAGCTTTTGTCAATCCATTCTGAGACTATGCAAGCCGGAAATGGGAAGAGAGGAGGATCGTACGTCCCGAACGCCGAACGTTCCATTAAGTGGCACCTATTCTGTGACGGCCGCGGCCACGGAAGCGCCGGTATGGACCCACGAGAATGATCCTAAGACGTCAATTTCTGGTATAGCCTCGACCATTGGCTATATGCGAAGTCATTTCGAAACCATGATTGGAAGCGGCGAGATTGAGCATGAGGCACTGACCTTCGGGCCGCTACCGTACATTACCCGTTTTAGTGCGGCGTCAAACCCAACCTGCGAGGCCTTCACGATCAGGGGTTCTTTGGGCTTAACGTATAAAAGCACCAAAGAATACTGTACTGTAAAGGATAATCACTTAAACTCATCTATTTCAAACGAGCTTTATAGCTGCGAGCTATCTTAGCCCTAATATCGATATCTACTAGCAATTTACCAACGGACCTACGGACCTTAGGAGCTGAGAAATGTCTCCAAGTACTGACGATGGAAAGTATTTCAGTGTCTATAAGGTCCAATACCGCCTTGCAGTGCAGGACCCCGATATGCCTCAGCCAAGATATCACACTGTAGTGAGTGCCATTCTTCCTTCCTCCAAACACTTGAAACGGTGTGCACTCGTCCACAACGTTCGAATGCATATCAACCTCAACTTAACCCATGTCTTTTCTGTCGTTTTCTATCTCTCACTCGGGGATTTATATACTCATATCTGACCGGTCATTAGATCTTTGTGGAGACAAAGGATGATAAGAGCGGCTACATTCACCATGTCACTGGAGATCTGGTAGGGGGTATGAGATATGAGAGAAAGCCAGGTCACCAGCCGGAGCAATCACAGACCTTCCATGGCAAACAGCTTCTGGGTAGAGTCAGAGAAAGTAAATACTCTCGACTTCACGAAATCTGTGCCCAACAGCCTGCCCCGGGGAAACAGAAGAAGTTCAATCCGACGACCATGAGGACAGAGCCAATTAAGCCGAACGGTGATTTTTACCAGCCCGGAGAGCCACGTCAGAGACTGATCAAATGCACCGAGTGGACTTTGGAACGAGCGATTCCAGCGCTGCAGAGAGAAGGTATTCTCGAGGCGTAGGATCATGCACGGTACCGGAGCAGAGTGACAAGATAATACCTTAGATCGGGTCAGGCAAGAGCTGCATGGACAGCATGCTGGTGTATGGGCATTGTGGAGTTGGTTCGTTGGCGTCACATATTCAGGGTTTATCTTGTAGCTCTCCTTTAGAGAAAAATGGCATGATATATTGGCATTAACACCATAGTTTCGACGGGGAAGGGGTCGAGACACAACTCGATCATCTGTGGCCAGTCATCGTCCCAGGAAAAGCCTGTGTAGCACAAGAAGTACTCGAAGTAGTCAGGGTACCAGCCTGAGTCCTCCCAATCAAGGATGGCCAGGCTGAAATCCTCATTACCCAAAATCCTCGTGCTTGTTCTTTCGACCATGATATTTTTCTTTTGTATATCCCCATGCGTAAAAGTGGGGTGATGGCCTGTGAGAGATCGAGGAAGATGTTTTTGGAGCCATTCGACTCGAGACATATGTTGGTGATTATCAATATGTATCTGACGCAGCTTCTCCACTAAGCCGAGACAAAATTCCGTTTCATTTTCGAAGGGACCATTAACCTCTTTTTGCGGATCTGGAGTCCAGAAGAGAAAATAAGGGAGTGGCCCACGGTCGACGCTGCCATAGAATGGAGGCGAGGGTGAGGGCAGAGATCTCATGTCATCAAGAATCCCTCTGAGCTTGCTCAGAATCACCCGTCGCTCGCAAGGCTGAAGGCTCGGCCAAAGAGATTCGAGTGTTTGTCCGCTAACATACTGCATGAGCAAGTACGCGTTTCCTTTTTCCTCGTACAAGGCGTACACTAATGGTATCGGAGTGGTGAGATGCTGATTGACAAAGATCATATTGAGTCCTTCTTGTATACGGAGTCTCGTTTGAGGGCCATATTTGGCTACGAAATGGTCTCCGATCCGAACAACTTTGGACGATCCTTCCACAAAAGTGCAGGATGCGTTCTCGATGTCGGAAATGGTAGGTAGAGGAGCAGGCAGGAGGGAAGAGTCGCAATAGTATGGCAGGGATGGGGCTTTCCACATCGTCGTTGGCGAGAAAATAAAATTCTGCAGGTGAGCCTGCAATCTCTGGTCGAAGAGTATTGCTGGAGAAGGTGCTTGATACGCCTCGCGATTGTTGACATGACCAGCGCGTCAGGGTTGATCAGGTTATCTCAAATTCGCAGTTAGGTTAGCCCGGCGAACCACGTGATAGATCACATGACAGCCTTACAAGGTCTCATATTCCGCTATTACCCGATGTGTCATAACTCAGTGGTCGTGACGTCAAGGGTGTGCTGGAGCGATCGAAATAATGCCGACTGTGTCAAGTGGTTTCCGGGAGAGTGAAGATTGCTACCAACGAGAGCCACGGCGACTTAGTATATCACTCGCCAAGATATTGATGACGGTCCCAAACCCAGACTCAAGGTTCAGCATGCAGGTACTGTATAGATTCTATATACTGTACAGGGACTTGCAAAACGGGCTTCCTCGCGTCAGACATTCTTCTCATCTTTTGCCCAACGGTGGAGGCCAAAAAAAGCCTAGCAAATAGGGATATATCTTCCAATCATTTTGCATAAAAATAATACAGCTTACAGCCATTTTACTGTTCAAGAAATTACAACTCCTCGTCTGACTTCGATTTAGCTGCCTCTGTATTTTCAAGCCATGATAATCGCTGCGGTCGCTCTGGGCTTTAAGCCGAAATCACTGTGCACCAACGTGTATCCTCGAGGTTACTTAGCAAAACAATGATGGATTTAGGTTCACAGCTGCCTGTAGCTGTAAGCCCGCAACGGGCTTTGAGCCAAGGTCAACATAAATTAAGGACGATACATTGCTTTGAGCAAATTATCGCCGTCCTCCAAACCCTCCTCTGTCATGTCGAGGCCGTATGCTGCCTGGAAATTCCTGCGATTCCCGAAAGGACCTTTAAGTGCCCTATGGTGATGATTCCTGAAAGGGCCAACTAGATTATCAATATCCAGCTCCCACACCAGTTGCGACTTGTCTTCCCGACGCTTCAAGGTCACCACGGAGCCGCTGGCCCCAAAACACTCAGGGAGAAGGACTTCTAAACCTTCAAGCCGACTTCCTTTTAGTGCCCATATCCCATCATGATTGGTCTTGCGGTATACACAGCCCTCGTTGACCTCATCCCATGCAACAGTGTCTGAAAGAATGCTCGACCAATCGTAGGAACTGTACAGTGCTTCATTTAGCTGTTGCCCAATTGAGGACGAATCTTCCAGGAGACATATTGGATGAAAATCAAAATCAAAGCCAAGCGCAATCTGACGCAGGCCCTCATGCTGGGGTGAGGTATCTATTCTCATAACACAACCCCAGTCACCAGGTTGCAAAACAGCAGTGCGGCTGCTTGACGAATAATGGGTGGCGAGCACACGGGCAGATGATGGCAGCCAGCCGTCCGCAATTTTGAAGCCATATATACACCTCTTGAGGCAGCCTTCGTCACAATTTATATCCAAAGTCTGACGGACGAATAGTCGCCTCTCCCGTGTCGGCCCGTCATGTGTACGAAAAGTGCTCCCCGTGGCAGGCCATAAGCCTTTTCTTGAAAAGTTCACTCTTGTATATTGATCGTCCTCATTAAGGCGTCGTAGAAAAATGCCCACCCTGATGAGCTGCGACGAATTCATTCTCTCAGCGCAGTCAAGGTACGCGAGATATGTATCTGCGAACCAAGGCGTGATCTTGAGTTTGATTGATAAACCACGATTTGTCATCGAGAAAGGTTCACGCCCTCCAACAGACACAGCAGAAACGAACCTCCCGCTGCGTGCAAAGCATGTAGGCGCCGGGGCGAGCAAACCAGAAAATTTTTTTCTTACCCATCAACCAGGCAAAGATGGATTGGTCGTCATTATACTTAATAATCTCCTCTTGAAGTCGAAGAAATGCCCGATCTCCTTCGTGTTAGACACAGCCTTGAGGAAACCCGGTTACGAGTTGCATTGGCGCGACTCACCACACTCATTGGACAGATGGAAGGATCCACAGGAGAACAAG